ATCCCAGGTCCCACATCCCTCTCTTTACCCCATCCTAGTTACCACATCCCTCCTGTTACCACATCCTAAGTACGACATCACTCTCTTTACCCCATCCCAGGTACCACATCCCTCTCTTTACCACATCCTAGGTCCCACATCCCTCTCTTTACCCCATCCTAGGTACCACATCCCTCTCTTTACCCCATCCTAGGTACCACATCCCTCTCTTTACCCCATCCCAGGTCCCACATCCCTCTCTTTACCCCATCCCAGGTACCACATCCCTCCCATTACCACATCCTAGGTACCACATCCCTCTCTTTACCCCATCCTGGGTAAAACATCCCTCCTGTTACCACATGCTAGGTACCACATCCCTCTCTTTCCCCCATCCCAACTACCACATCCCTCCCACCATTACCGTATCCCTCCCGTTACCCCATCCTCATTACCCCCACCCCCCTGAGTTACTCGGTACCGATGCCGTCGCCGCGGTACTGCTCGGCCGTGGGGGTGGAGATGGCGTAGCCGTTGTTCCTGCAGAAGAAGACGATGGGGCACTCCAGGGTGGCGGCGAAGTTGAAGCCGGCGTGAGCGTCGCCTTCGCTGGCCGCCCCCTCGCCGAAGTAGCAGACGACGGCGCGGTTGGCGTCGGCTCGCTTGATGGCGTAGGCGGCCCCCACGGCTGAGGGAGGAACGGGGCAGGGGGGGACTGGGATCAATGGGGGGGACTGGGAGAGACTGGGGGGGACTGGGAGAACTGGGAGGGAGTGGGAGAACTGGGGGGGACTGGGAGGGACTGGGAGGGACTGGGAGAACTGGGAGGGACTGGGAGAAAGGGGGGGGACTGGGATCATTGGGGGGGACTGGGAGGGACTGGGAGGAACTGGGGGGGACTGGGGGGTACTGGGATCACTGGGGGGGACTGGGAGGGACTGGGAGGAACTGGGATCACTGGGGGGGACTGGGAGAACTGGGGGGGACCGGGAGGGACTGGGGGGGACCGGGAGGGATTGGGAGAAATGGGGGGGACTGGGAGGGACTGGGAGAATGGGATTGGAAGAACTGGGATCACTGGGGGGGACTGGGAGAACTGGGAGGGACTGGGGGGGACGGGGGGTACTGGGAGAACTGGGGGGGACTGGGGGGGACTGGGAGGGACTGGGAGGAACTGGGGGGACTGGGGGGGACTGGGAGGGACTGGGAGGGGTTGGGAGAAATGGGGGGGACTGGGAGAAGTGGGAGGGGTTGGGAGAACTGGGGGGCATGGGGATCACTGGGGGGGACTGGGAGAACTGGGAGGGACGGGGAGAACTGGGAGGGGTTGGGAGAACTGGGAGGGCTCAAGGAAGGGCTAAAGGAAGGGATAACAGCAGGAAAAGGGCTAAAGTAAGGGATAACACCGGGAAAAGGGGGAAAGGGCTGAACGAAGGGCTAAAGGAAGGGATAAAGGAAGGGATAACACCGGGAAAAGCGATAAAGGAAAGGATAAAGGAAGGGATAACACCGGGAAAAGGGATAAAGGAAGGGCTAAAGGAAGGGATAACACGGGAAAAGGGATAAAGGAAGGGCTAAAGAAAGGGATAACACCGGGAAAAGGGGGAAAGGGCTGAAGGAAGGGATAACACCAGGAAAAGGGATAAAGAAAGGGCTAAAAGAAGGGATAACACCCGGAAAAGGGGTAAAGGAAGGGCTAAAGGAAGGGATAACACCCGGAAAAGGGGGAAAGGGCTGAAGGAAGGGCTGAAGGAAGGGATAATGCCAGGAAAAGGGGGAAAGGGCTGAAGGAAGGGATAAAGGAAGGGGTAAAGGAAGGGATAAAGGAAGGGATAACACCGGGAAAAGGGGGAAAGGGCTGAAGGAAGGGATAAAGGAAGGGATAAAGGAAGGGATAACACCGGGAAAAGGGCTAAAGGAAGGGCTAAAGGAAGGGATAACACTGGGAAAATGGATAAAGAAAGGGCTAAAGGAAGGGATAACACCCGGAAAAGGGGTAAAGGAAGGGCTAAAGGAAGGGATAACACTGGGAAAAGGGGGAAAGGGCTGAAGGAAGGGCTAAAGGAAGGGATAACACGGGAAAAGGGATAAAGGAAGGGCTAAAGAAAGGGATAACACCGGGAAAAGGGGGAAAGGGCTGAAGGAAGGGATAACACCAGGAAAAGGGATAAAGAAAGGGCTAAAAGAAGGGATAACACCCGGAAAAGGGGTAAAGGAAGGGCTAAAGGAAGGGATAACACCCGGAAAAGGGGGAAAGGGCTGAAGGAAGGGCTGAAGGAAGGGATAATGCCAGGAAAAGGGGGAAAGGGCTGAAGGAAGGGATAAAGGAAGGGGTAAAGGAAGGGATAAAGGAAGGGATAACACCGGGAAAAGGGGGAAAGGGCTGAAGGAAGGGATAAAGGAAGGGATAAAGGAAGGGATAACACCGGGAAAAGGGCTAAAGGAAGGGCTAAAGGAAGGGATAACACTGGGAAAATGGATAAAGAAAGGGCTAAAGGAAGGGATAACACCCGGAAAAGGGGTAAAGGAAGGGCTAAAGGAAGGGATAACACTGGGAAAAGGGGGAAAGGGCTGAAGGAAGGGCTAAAGGAAGGGATAGCACCGGGAAAGGGGCTAAACGATGGGATAATGCCAGGGAAAGGACTAAAGTAAGGGATAAAGGAAGGGATAACACCAGGAAAAGGGGGAAAGGGCTGAAGGAAGGGATAAAGGAAGGGCTAAAGGACGGGATAACACCGGAAAAAGGGGGAAAGGGCTAAAGGAAGGGCTAAAGGAAGGGATAACACTGGGAAAAGGGATAAAGAAAGGGCTAAAGGAAGGGATAACACCCGGAAAAGGGGTAAAGGAAGGGCTAAAGGAAGGGATAACACCGGGAAAAGGGATAAAGGAAGGGCTAAAGGAAGGGATAACACTGGGAAAAGGGCTAAAGGAAGGGATAAAGGAAGGGCTAAAGGAAAGGCTAAAGGAAGGGATAACACCGGGAAAAGGGGGAAAGGGCTGAAGGAAGAGCTAAAGGAAGGGATAACACTGGGAAAAGGGATAAAGGAAGGGCTAAAGGAAGGGATAAAGGAAGGACTAAAGGAAGAGAGAACACCGGGAAAAGGGATAAAGGAAGGGCTAAAGGAAGGGCTAAAGGAAGGGCTAAAGGAAGGGATAAAGGAAGGGATAACACTGGGAAAAGGGCTGAAGGAAGGGATAAAGGAAGGGATAACACTGGGAAAAGGGGGAAAGGGCTGAAGGAAGGGCTGAAGGAAGGGATAAAGGAAGGGCTCAAGGAAGGGCTAAAAGAAGGGATAACACCAGGAAAAGGGCGAAAGGAAGGGCTAAAGGAAGAGATAAAGGAAGGGATAACACTGGGAAAAGGGCTGAAAGAAGGGATAAAGGAAGGGATAACACTGAGAAAAGGGGGAAAGGGCTGAAGGAAGGGGTCACAGCAAGGAAAGGGCCAAAGGCAGGGAGCTCCCTGCAGCACCTTGAGGGATCTGGGTGGCCAAAGGCGACGAGATGGTGACAAAATGCCGCTCGCGGCAGCCGTAATGCACCGGCATCTGCCGGCCCTTCCCGGGATCCCGGCTATTCCCATAGCACTGAGCCATGAACAGGTCCAAGGGATACCCCCGGTACAGGAGGACGCCTGCAAAGAGAGGGGGAAATGAGGGGTTGGGGGGGGGAGACACCCCTAAAATGAACCCCAAAAAGATGGGGGCACCCCCCCCCAACACCATGTACCTGCCTCTCGGTACTGCCCAAAGACCAGGTCGGTGTCGTCGAGCGCGGCCGCGCTGCCCACGTGGGTGCCTTCCTCCCCGTAGTTGGTCATGTAAAAGGAGATGCGGCCCTGGAAAAGGGGGAGAAGGGGGTTTGGGGGGGGGGAAAAGGGGATTTGGGGGGGGAAATGGGGGATTTGGGGGGGAAAAGGGGGATTTGGGGGGGAAAATGGGGGATTTGAGAGGGGAAAAGGGGGGGAAGGGGGATTTGGGGGGGGAAAAGGGGGATTTGGGGGGGGAAATGGGGGATTTGGGGAGGGGAAAAGGGGGGGAAGGGGGATTTGGGGGGAAAACGGGGGGGAAAGGGGGATTTGGGGGGGGAAAAGGGGGGGAAAGCGGATTGGGGCGGAAGGGGGATTTGGGGGGGAAAAGGGGGATTGGGGGGAAAGGGGGGGGAAATGGGGATTTGGGGGGGGAAAGGGGGAAAGGGGGATTGGGGGGGAAGGGATTTGGGGGGGGAAGGGGGAATTGTGGGGGGAAATGGGGATTTGGGGAAGGAAATGGGGATTTGGGGTGGGAAAGGGGGGGAAAGGGATTTGGGGGAGAAGGGAGATTTGGGGAGGGGAAAAGGGGGATTTGGGGGGGGGAAAAGGGGGGGAAAGGGGGATTTTTGGGGGGAAATGTTGGGAAAGCAGGATTTGGGTGGAAAGGAGGGGATTTGGGGAGGGGAAAAGGGGGATTTGAGAGGGGAAAAGGGGGGAAAGGGGGATTTGGGGGGGGAAAGGGGGGAAAGGGGGATTTGGGGGGGGGAAGGGGGATTTGGGGTGCCCCCCCTTGGGATGGGGGCCTTTGCGTGTTCCTGCTAATGCGTGTGCCCTACCTGGCGCTGGGACTCGTACAGGATGCGGTCCATGGTGTTGAGCAGGGTCATGGTCTTGTAGAGCTTCAGCACCAGCTCCTTGGGCAGCTGGGGGGTCATACATGTTGTTAGCGTGTTTGGGGGTCATACATGTTGTTAGTGTGTTAGGGATCATACATGTTAGCGTGTTGGGGCGGTCATACATGTTGTTAGCGTGTTTGGGGGTCATATATGTTGATAGCATGTTAAGGTCATACATGTTAGCATGCTCAGGAGTCATACATGTTGTTAGCGTGTTTGGGGGTCATACATGTTGTTAGCATGCATGATCATACATGCTAGCAACCTGTGTTTCGGGCGTCATACACACTAATAAAAGGTCATTGGTTGACCATACATGCTAATAACATGTCGTTGGTTGATCATACATGCCAATAACATGTCACTGGCTGGCCATACATGCTAATAATATGTCGTTGGTTGATCATACATGCTAACACCCTATGTTTTGGGGCTCATACATGCTAATGACGTGTTGTTGGTTGACCATACATGCTAATAATATGTCATTGGTTGACCATACATGCCAGTAACATAGGGTGACCGTACATACCAATAATATGTCGTTGGTTGACCACACATGCCAATAACATGCCGTTGGTTGACCGTACATGCCAATAACGTGTCGTTGGTTGACCATACATTCCAATAACATGTCGTTGGTTGATCATACATGCTAACAACCTATGTTTCGGGGCTCATACATGCTAATAACATGTTGTTGGTTGATCACACATGCTAGTAATATGTTGTTGGTTGACCATACATGCCAATAACATGTTCTTGGTTGAGCATACATGCCAATACCATGTCCTTGGTTGACTATACAGGCTAATACCATGTCATTGGCTGACCATACATGTTCCAATCACGCCAATATTGGCAATACACCACCATACACGCCAATACCATGTCGTTGGTTGACCATACATGCCAATACCATGTCATTGGTTGACCATACATGCCAATACCATGTCGTTGGTTGACCATACATGCCAATACCATGTCATTGGCTGACCATACATGCCAATACCATGTCATTGGTTGACCATACATGCCAATACCATGTCATTGGTTGACCATACATGCCAATACCATGTCGTTGGTTGACCATACATGCCAATGTCCTTGGTTGACCACACATGTCATGTGTTGGTTGACCACACATGCCAATACCATGTCGTTGGTTGACCATACATGCCAATACCATGTCATTGGTTGACCATACATGCCAATACCATGTCATTGGTTGACCATACATTCCAATACCATGTCCTTGGTTGACCATACATGCCAACACCATGTCCTTGGTTGACCACACATGCCAATACTATGTCGTTGGTTGACCATACATGCCAATACCATGTCATTGGTTGACCATACACGCCAATACCATGTCCTTGGTTGACCATAAATGCCAATACCATGTCATTGGTTGACCATACATGCCAATACCATGT